GAGAGAAGTAGAGTCACTTTCTCATAGACTTCTATACAACCAGAGGAATCGCCCCCTGGTGGACACTAGAGAGAATGCAGGTTTAAGACACATCACGTCTTTGTGTCCTCAGGGCGTTATCGACTACATATTCTTCTCAAAGACCCACATGAGCGTCCTGGGCCTGATGGGACCGCTGGACACCCAGTGGCTCGTCGACAACAACATCACCGGCTGCCCCCACCCGCACATCCCCTCGGACCACTTCTCCCTGCTGGCCCAGCTGGAGCTGCACCACCCTCCCCCGCCCCACCCGCTCAACCCCCTCAACGGGCTGCACCTGCCGGTCCACAGGTAGTCCAGCCTGACCGAACAGCCCCGCCAACACCTTCCTGTCTCACCTTTAAAACACTCCCCCACCCCCCCCTCCAGCTTTATACAGGACCCTGTACAGACCACCGATCATGTTAACGCTCAAGACGCCATCCGACCCTAAAGGAGTGAAGTATTCGCCTGTTTGTTGCTCCTTTTTTTGTGCTTTTGCACAATGTAAATGTTTGTTTTAATACATTTATTTCCCTCCCCCTTAAAAAAGGCTTGATACCAAATGTTGGGCTTGGGATGAAGTTTTGAATTGTTTTGTTTTTTCCTCTACTACAACAACAAACCTTAATGACGAATACTATCGAGCAGATTAGCTGAATTTCATTTGTTTTTTTGTTTTTGACACTTCACACAGCCGTGAAGTTTTTAGAGTTAAAACACAACTTAATATTAATGTTGTGTTAAAGTCACAGTCTGCTGTCACTCCCCAATTTACCTGACAGGTATTTTAAATAACGGAGAAACACTACAAACAGCTGACGGTTAGGAACGTTTACGTGAAAAAGGTTTGTTTACATCGGTCACTTTTATAAACGCAGAACCATATTCTCAATTCTGCTACAACGAAATATTTAATTTTATCACGTGTGGAGAAAATACCTGTCATTGTTTTAAGGTTAAAGTGCTGATTGGACGTTTTAAAAGTAGTTAGTTACACTAAATTGGTGTTTTTTTTCTTGATATAGGAGCTAGACTTTGAAATCATCTCATGTCACATCACTGAGGATATAGATGATTGTTTTTCGGGGCTTTCAGATTCACACCGCTTTTCATCGTTTGAGATTTCGTTGCCTGGTGTTCGTTCTAAAGATGTCACCTGACGTCGTCCTTGTTGCCAGGCAGAAAAGCTCCACCTGCCGGCCTCCCGGTGCTGCGTTCACTGCTACGGTTTTTATTTTATTTTCTTCTTCCATACTACGGGTGTTGAACCGCTCTTCTTCCATCGTTGCTGAATATTTGACTTGTGTTCATCTCGTTCATGCTCTCTGTTTTCAAAGATGCAACACGTGATGATGACGAAGACATTAAACACAGTTCAGTTCAGGCCAAATGTTAATTAATAAGCACTGCAACCAAATTAGCCCCGAAATCTTTGACCTGCTTTGAAATAGATAGTTAAAGGCATGAAGGGACTCAGCAATGAGCTTCATGAAGTCATGCTTTCAAACACCTCCGGTCTTAAGAGTATTGTATCACCTGCCTAGCCAAAGAATCTCTCCAGTGTGAGTGACAATAATATAATATTTATTTATTGGTGCCGGAGACGAATAATAGAACTTCGTGAACAGGAGCTGAATGTATTCACCAGAGGCTCGCCAGATTCCTGTGGACTTTGTGTTCTTTGTGTCAGATGATTAGAACTAATAGCCCTTTGTGTACGTTGTAACTCAGGGCTATGCTATGCTATGCTATGCTATGCATCCAGCAGTACCTCTCAAACTACAGACTCTCAGAGTCGTACGAGCAAAAACCAAACAGGAAGCTATTGGTTTGTAAGAATCCTTTATGAAGCACAGGTAATGTATGTGTTTACATACATGTATGTTGTTGTTGTTGTTGAGGTCCCACGTCTTGGTGCATTTTTGATAAAACTGCTGCTGCACTTTTGCTCCATCCCCAAAGAAGAATAACTGAAGAGAAACTTAAATTAGTCCAATTTATGAGTTGGCAGAAGGTGCAAAAGGCGTTGAGATAAGTGTGGTGGCTCTACCTTGTTTTTTGTGGACTTTTCTCTCATCTCTGCATTACTTCCTGTATATTTGGTGTCAGGTGTCGGTTCAATTCTAAAAGGAGAATATCCCTCTTTGATTGAGAAATACATTCAGCAAACAGACCGTTTATTAAACAGTGGGGAGCCGCTGGTCTCAACAACTACTTGACATAAAATAAAAGTCCTTTGACTTGAATCTCTTGGTACAAAAGAACATATTGAGGTTTGATAGCCTGCCTGGAAGGGTACTAGTGGACTCTATATCAGCCGCCTGCACCAACAGTGTCCAACACATCTGGCACATTTCACACTGGAGTGTCTCCAGACTCTGACCTTTTTCTTAAATTGAGCGCGTTAAATGAGTCAAAGCGTTTGTCGTAGTTTTGTTCACACTAAGCTCGGCTTTAGACCGGTGTCATGTCAGGCTGTGCTTCATTTTGCACATGATTTGACGCTGATGATTTGACGCTGATGATTTGACGTTAATGATTTGATGCTGATGATTTGACGCTGATGATTTGACATTAATGATTTGACGTTGATGATTTGACGCTGATGATTTGACGTTAATGATTTGATGCTGATGATTTGACGTTAATGATTTGACATTAATGATTTGACGCTGATGATTTGACGTTAATGATTTGACGCTGATGATTTGACGTTAATGATTTGACGCTGATGATTTGACATTAATGATTTGACGCTGATGATTTGACGTTAATGATTTGATGCTGATGATTTGACGCTGATGATTTGACGTTAATGATTTGACGTTAATGATTTGACGCTGATGATTTGACGTTGATGATTTGACGTTGATGATTTGACGTTAACGATTTGACGCTGATGATTTGACGTTGATGATTTGACGTTAATGATTTGACGCTGATGATTTGACGCTGATGATTTGACATTCATGATTTGACGCTGATGATTTGACATTCATGATTTGACGCTCATGATTTGACGTTGATGATTTGACGTTGATGATTTGACGCTGATGATTTGACGTTAATGATTTGACGCTGATGATTTGACGCTGATGATTTGACATTCATGATTTGATGCTGATGATTTGACATTCATGATTTGACGCTGATGATTTGACATTCATGATTTGACGCTGATGATTTGACGTTGATGATTTGACGTTGATGATTTGACGCTGATGATTTGACGCTGATGATTTGACGCTGATGATTTGACGTTAATGATTTGACGCTGATGATTTGACGTTAATGATTTGACGCTCATGATTTGACGTTGATGATTTGACGCTGATGATTTGACGTTAATGATTTGACGCTGATGATTTGACGTTAATGATTTGACGCTCATGATTTGACGCTGATGATTTGACGCTGATGATTTGACGCTGATGATTTGACGCTGATGATTTGACGCTCATGATTTGACGCTGATGATTTGACGCTGATGATTTGACGCTGATGATTTGACGCTCATGATTTGACGCTCATGATTTGACGCTCATGCTAACGGATCGGTGGAGTTGATGAAGTCGACCTTTGTGAGCTTTTTGCGGCCGATACTTCACTCCTAAACTCACCTCACAGGGTTTTTACTGATTTTGTACAACAGCTGTACATAAGTTGAATTGCCTTTGATGACGGGGCGTCTTTCACATCTGTGTGGGGGAATGTACCATTCTCCAAATAGGGGTGCATTATCCTTTCTCACGAATCAGCAGACGTACCCGGTGTTGTACTTTTTATTTAAGATCTGGTAGGTGAACACACCTCCTGTCTCAGATAAACGGAGAGACAGACTTTGTTTTTGAACTGAGGGCATTTTCTGTCTCCAGCAAACATGCAGTCTCTCAATTGGTACTTTGTACAATTCAGTATTACCAAGTTCTTCTTTTGAGAAACAAAGATAAATGTTCTAGGTTTAAAAGCAGTTTGTCTCTTTTATTTCTCTCTGAGATGATCCTGAACTTGGTTTCTTCCTCTTTATACACATCATCCACCTACCACGTGCCCTGTTCATTTAGTCTCTGTAGAGCACACCTCACCTACTCTTTTCTACAAACAACGTGCCTAGTTTGTACAGTTTCTCCAAACAGCAGCACTGCCCATGAGACCAAGACGCTCAGAGATTAACCCAGCGCCATCATCCATCATCTATCCATTCATCTTTCACCCTCCAACCCTTCCTCAACCAAGGAGCAGGACCTGAGGCATCACAGCTCAACTCAGACTGTTTCTGTTTTTATCGAGGACAAATCATCTGTTCAGAGAGGTTTCTGTGTCTCACAGGATTATCACGACCATCGTCGCATGAGATCTTCTGAATGCAAAAATCCTGTTCAACATCTGGACCTGGTTTCTTTGTTTGTTTGTTTCTTGCACTGTTCATTCGGGCTGATTTTAACGCTCCATGAGGTTTTTTTATCCTCTGGTGGCCAATACGACGCATTAGAAGAGGATGATCTGACGAAGCATTGAGCATTTGGACGACGGTGTTGTGTTGTCTTTAATCTGCTGTTACGTGTTGAATGTGACGGCCTCCAGCCAGACTGGGCTGCTGCATCAGAACAGGGACACGTGAAGTTAAAGAATGCTGGGTAAATGTTTTAACCTGTAAACAAGGTGGAAAAGGAATTCAAAAACACAACAAAATGCCAAATAAGTGCAAGAGATTAGGAACGATTTGAACCTTTTAAAATGCACGGTGTATCTTGAATATTTTTAATTTAATCTACAATGAAGACCACAGGTTGATGCACTGGTTACCTTACTGCAATGAGGCCATTTTAAAATGAAAGATTCGGACTACAACAGGAGGAAGGCAGCAACTTCAGCGTCAAACACTTTCACAAGTCTTCCTCTCGTTGGTTTGACAATTAAAAGAAACATTTCTTTCTCTGTCTTTCCTTCAAACTTGCAATTGGCGAGAAGTAACGAGAAGAGGAAATGCGAGGCTGTTATTTCTGAGAACAAATGATTTATTTCCTTGGAGCATTCCTAAAATAAAAAGCTATTTAAAAATTGCTGCCTTTCAGCAGATTTATTCACGTGACGTGAGACCTGGTGAGGATCCTCAGCCACCAGCAGTCACCAACAACGGTGCTACATCCTCTCAAGAGATGATCTTTAGAGAGCTGCACTTAAACCTGTTTGTACGTAACAGCGGAGTTAAGTTTCTGTTTATCAGATTCCAGCTCTCTCACCACGGTGGTTTCTCAATCCAACCAGACGAGAGGAAGCCGTCAGCGAGCGTTTGGCTGGAAGGAAACACTTTGTGGTGGAGAGCTGCTGCTCAACTCAGACGGAAGGTTTGGTATCGAGGAAGCTGAAGTGTGCATCGCGTCTGACTGTTAAATGTCAAAAAAAACAAAAAAGGTGCAAAACTGCAGACACGCGAGTTCCTGTCGGCACGCGAGGACGAGTGGAAGTTTGCCTGATGTCGGTGGCAGTGCTGACTTTGTGGTTTTCCTCTGACAGAGAAATCCAGATCCATACTTCGTAGGAGTCCTTCTGACATTGGTTATGAAAGTTACAGCTGCAGATTGTAGGCGAAGAAATCCAGTTTTGTGCACGTAAGTTATGAAGACCGAGTGGAACCAAAATCACCAAAAAATGCATAAATGAAAGAATAGATCAAAGACGTTAAATTACTTTTGTTTCTTTCTTAAGTTTCTTATGAAAGGTTTTATAACTTTACAAAAAGCAGGTTATATTTTGGGATATTTTATGTTTTCATATCATTTGAAATATCACATTCTCTGTGAATTCAGAAATCTTTTGTGATGATAAACTTATTATTTAGGTGAAAGGGGAACTCTACACATAACACCTGTGAAAACATCTGTGTAATGTTGTCTCACCCTGATTATGCAGCAGTGATGTCATCAGGGTTAGAGACTTAACGGAGAACTTGCTTTAAAAAGTGGAGTTGTGACATTTGAAACAAGCAGGAATATAGAAAGTCTAATGAAAGACACTATTGGGTTGTATTCTGGGAATTGTAGGATACAGTGTTTTTGCTGTTATCTTCTTAAAATCGTGATTATCTGTCTGATTCTTTGTAATCTGACTCACATGAGAGGACGTGAGATACTAAAGTCATGAAGTGCTTTACAAGGAAAAGAAAAAAGGTCAAACAATGAAATCAAATGCAACTAAAAACAAACAATGAGACACTTTGTTTGGGGATTATTAATAAAACTGGTTCCCCCAAAAATCTGACATTTGGGTTTAAGGTTCGTTTTCATCCAAATAAGTGATTTGGTTGAACTCTTCGGAGCCTCGGTGGATATTTGGGGCCCTAAGAAGTCTCTCAACACTCTTGTTTGTACAGAAAGAGTTTGTTGTGTTGAAGAAGTGACATTTCATCGACTGAATGGAGGACTTCTACAGCTGTGTTTAATATGTTGGAACCAAACAGCACTTGTATCATCTCTCTCTCCACACGAGGCCCCGACTCGCTCCACCTCCTGAAGGCAATAAACAAGTCATTTTATCAAGATTCTCTTCGTCTGTGATTTATTTATTTATGAGAAGACAAGTCACGGATACAACACAGACATGTCAAGAGGTTACAGCACCACCGCGAACATCGGATTCACATTATGTTGTCAAACTTACAGGAAAGCATTCTCTGTTTTATGCTTTAACTTCAATTTTACTTCACAGTTCAGACAGTCTTTTTACAATAAAATGAAGCTCTTCCTCTGATACATCTCCTCCTTCAGACACAATGAAACACCAGTAAATACAAACCGTCAGAAAACCTTTTTGTTTGTAATTGAATACGAGATAACAAAGACTTGAGAGATAAAAGATAAGAGTTCCTCAAAATCACAACACTTGCGTCCATTTTTCTTTTGATATTTTAAAGCTCAACACGTGAATAAACTTTTGTCTTCAAAGTTTCAAAAAGGTGCTGACAAAAACTGATAGAATCTGTTGAAAATGTTTCAAAAGTGTGGAAACTAAAGTCAGAAACACATAAAACATATAGCGACACATCTGCATGATCACCACCATACACGTTCTGTTAAAGGCTGCAACAATTATTTTCATTATCAATTATTTAGTTTATAAAATGTCAGAAACTTGGGTAAAATGTTCATTTAAAAGAGAAAACTGACTTTTCCCCAGATATTCAGTTTACAACTATATAAAACCTTCACCTGTAAGAGGCTGTCTGTGTTAATCTAATCGAGATATTGTGAAATAAAAGTGTTTTGTATAAAATCATGTTGATGTACAAGAACACATTCACTGATAGAAATAAAGACTACATGAAGTCATTACTTTTGCAAATTGCTGAGCAGGGAGTTGACCCACTTCTCCTCCGGTTTCACACAAACTTTTGAGCCGTTCCTCCGGGTGATTCTGCAGAAAGACAAGAGTTACATTTTATTATTATTAAACAGCAGAGAGATTCTCACATTGTGTCACCAGCACGTTTCTTTTGCTCTGAGTGCAGAAGTACTTTTATCTGAATATATCGGTGTGCTAATCCCAGCTAAGTAGGTGATTAGCTTAGCTTAGCATAAAGACTGGAAGCAGTGGGACACAGCTAGCCGGACTCCCTCCAAAGTTCAAAAATAAGAAAAGAAAAAATGAAGAATGAGCTCTAGAGGTGCTGGAAAGAGCAGAGCTAGCTGTTTCCTACTGCGTTCAGTGTTTATGCTAAGCTAACTGCCCCGCTGCTCTCGCTCCATAGCTACCGCATGACATGAGAGCCCGATCGATGACAAGAAAGTGAATATTCAAATATCTCAAAATGTCTGAACTATTACTTTAAGTACAATGTGATGGTACCTGTGCTTAGCAGCTACATTGTCCTTCTACTGTACTACATTTCGGAGGGACATGTACTTCTTACTGCACTACAACAGCTGTTACTTTGCAGATATAAAAATATATAAGATTAAAAAAAACATTTGACAGATAAAATACAACACAGTATGTAAAATTGTTGCACCTCAAACAGCGACAAAATCACAACACTGAAAGGCTGTTGCAAGATGAATACTTTCAATTTTGAATGATACTATTCTATATATATACTATACTATATATACTATATATATTCTGCTGACTATATGTCTGATATGGAATATTTTACTTGTAATTAAGTGTAAGTAAAATTGCTAGGCTAGTATTTTTTTTACATATTGCTACTTTCGCCTCTACTCACATCAAATATACGTAAGTCAGAACTATCGTACATCATAAACAATGAATGAGTAACTAAACAGTCCTGCAGTCTCTGAATCCATCTTGAATCTTGAATACTTACATGATTTCAGTCCGACGACAGTGTCCTGAAATAGGAATCAGCTCCAGTTTCTTGATTACCTTTAAGGGGACCTGAGAATAGATGGACCGAATGCAGCGACACCCCTGTGTCGGAAGAGCTGTGAAAAAATTAAAAATAATGTTTAAATATTATACCTCAGCCTCAAAATGTCAACAAACGTTACCCCTGAGGAATCCAGGAAAAACAGAATGAAAAAGAAAACTCGAGGTCCAGTCAGGAGCTAATGAGCTAATTCCATTGACTGAGACAGACGGCAAGATGCGGTTGAAAGGTCCAGAAAAAAGCAAGTAAGTGGGCCTTGAATTAAGATTTATATTTTTGGACAATTTCCAACGTGAAGAATGAACTTTAACAACATAATATAACTATTTACTGACAGCTGTGACACTAAAGGTTTTGTACTTTATTTTTGTTAGATATCAAAATGAATATGTAAAGAAAATGTGTTGTTAGAGTGCCTAAAAATGTTTAGACACTTCATGTTGTCCAGCTTGAGATGAGTAAAATATCATTATATGCAGACGACACCGTCTTGTTAACTTTAGTTTATCTAGTGTGAAAGCAACATAAACATCAATAAGCATAATAAATTGCCTAAAATTAGTAAAACATAATTTTATGCAGACGACATGTCATTGTTACTTTAACTTTAAGTTGTACGAATTCCCAAAAAACTAAACTGAGACAAAGCAAACTGATTCCAGAGTTAAGAAGATTTTAAGAAAACTCATGAACTGTTTATGAATACATCAAACACAATAGTTACCGTGCAGAGAGGCGATGCAGCAGCAGAGAGTCAGTGCAGCCAGCAGCAGCAGTGGTTTGGTCGTCATCTTGGTGGTTGTTTTGATCTCTCAGCAGCAATGAGGATGTGAGAGTGATGTGAGAGTGATGTGAGAGTGAATGAAGTCTGGCTTTATAAAGCGGAAAAAACGGAAGTGAGCCCATCTTGACACATCTAAATGTAAATATTGTGGCATCCTGAGTTTTTTATGGGTTTTTTTCTGCTGAGTGAGCTTTGAGTTTCTTTGAGGGTCTACTTTTACTGATCTATCAACCAGCCTTCACTACCCATCACTGTAAAACAGAATAGTGTACGGTACTACTTTTTTTGTACTCACTATTTATTCTGCATAATGTTGGATACTAGACCCCATTGACACCATGGTGGGAGGGTGAATTCATGCCAGCAGACATGACTGAATGACTGAATAACTATCTAGAATTGACTTATGGTAATATGAGAGGCAGTGGTAATAACATTTAAAAACCTCCAGTGTTCCGATATCAAAAAGGAAAAGACAGTAAAGAACAGTATAGTACATAAAGGAAAAGTTTATCTAAACTATGCACGGAAATATGTAAATTAGATAGAATATATGTATTTTGATGTGAGTTCCGTCCCAAAAACATCCCCATGACAGCAGAATTTGCACACAAAGTAGAGATGCATCGGACCGATGCCGGCGCTAACAGCTGGATCGGTTATCTGGGACAATGGGCCGATCTCGTTTTGGACACCATTATCTTAATAAATGACAATTCAGTGCATTTATATCTATGAATCTATTTGTTCTATTTAGTTTTACAATGGTAGATTGTGTAAGTCAAACCTGATGTTTCCTTACACATAAAAGGATGACCCTAGTCTCTTCCACACAGCTTATTGATTAAATAAATCATTATGGGCCGATACTCAAACATACATCGGTACTGGGACTGAAAACAGAATACAAAAATACTACACAGATATACGACACCAAATAAACAGACCAGACTGCCATGTACTGTAGCCACAGAGGATGCACTGCATCTGCAGCTGGTTTTATATTTTAATTAAATTAAATTAAATTAAATTGAATATCTACATATTTTGCTGGAGGGTGGCTGAATTTACCTCCAGCTGGTGACTTAAATGTAACACTCAGGTTGCAATAAAAATAACAACTTTTAATTCTGTCTGGAAGCAGCATCAGCACATGATGGGAGAGCAACTTTTGTTGGCAAGTCCAAATCAGAGTGATATAAGTTTGGTCAAGGACAGACTTTGTATAGTTGCACCAGTTTGGGATTAACCTGGTCCAGAATCAGGAACAGAGACACCGGAGAGTACCAAGAACCAAACCGGGGCAGAGCTGTACTTCTGTTTTCACCTCGGAGCTCCTTCACTGATAACCACATCCTTTTCTGGTAAGTAATTAATTGAGGGGAATCTTATCCCCCCCCCCCTCCCCAAAATTAGACTGTAGTTCCTGTTTATGAAAATGAGATGCATATTCTAAGATTAAATTTAGATAAGCTCAGTCATGTACAGTAAATACTAAACTCTGTGGGGGGGGGGGGGGGTCAAGCTGGGGACTCCCGAACAATCATGAGATGATTCTAGTCGAGTGGGTCAAAGTCTGAGGCTGAGCTCTACGTGCATATTATTGTTAAATACTCATATTTCTAGTTAATCAGGCTCCAAAATAGATAGGGGGTGTTCTGGTGTTCCTTATTCTAAATGTAAATGTGAAGGATATGTTATTATTTTAGACAAAGAGGTTTTTTGTTTGTCAGCAGGATTACAGGAAGAACTACAGGCCAGATGTTCATGTAACTGAGTGGAAGGGTGTAGCACGAGCCGACGAGGAACCCAATGAAATATTAGATTATTAGAGCAGATCGGCCTCGGTGGAGGTCTGCACTCTCCGAGTGCCTTTCTAGTTTCAGATGTGATAATTGACAGTAGAGGTGAAAAAGAAACACGTGAACAGAGAGGAGCGATGTGGAACAAAGGATAAACGGGTCAATAAAGGCAAAGAGGAACATAGAGGAACATACTCCAGCTCAGGCAATGAAGTAGTGAAGCAATAAATGAATTACTGTTTAAAGGAGAATATATTCAGATTCATGCATGGTGGCAGTGGAGACATGTGATGGCATGAAATGCATTTTGTGCATAGAAATACAGAGGGTGACCCATGTTGTACAGTTCGTAAAGCCTTTTGTGGTATTGGGCTATAAATAAGATTTGACTTGATAAATTATTACCTTGAATTGGTCATTTGTGTGCAAAATATACTTATTTTGTTCTCTGCATTTAGTAATCCGTGCCCTCAAAATACTGCAGTCATCCCCCAGAACTATAGAGGTACTGTTTGTGCTTCCACCACTGAAAATGCCATCAAATTAAATAAAAGCCCTTTGTTTGCAGGTTTAAGATAAAGTTAGGATCAGGTTTATACAACCACTGTGTTGGGCCTGGGTCCACGTTGCGCCGCTGGGTAGAGTTCCTCTCAGCCTTTTCAACGGGAAAAGCGCTCCAATCACTTTTCCACCACAACAATATCTTGACAACATATTGCTTTTTCACCACAAGCACCAGCCGGAGGATGCCTGCTTCATACTTTATACCGAGGAGCTTGTCATCGCACATCTGACAGCCGTTACGTTAGAGCAAGGTCTTTGTTAGATGGTGTCTGTCTGACATATGAGGTCAGGATAAACTGACATGGCCAAAACATTGCTTCTCTTTCATTTACTACAGTGACATCACCAGCGCTTTTTAACTTGGTGGCCGCATTCCCTCTCTCCTCATTGGGAACAATTGAAAAACGACGCTGGCGTTAAGAAAAAAAGGCGTTATTGGCCAAAGGCCCTTAATCTCCATTAATGTGGAATATTTCATGAACTACTTCAAGCTTTGAGCTAATTCTTTTGGGGAACTGAACCTCAAGTTTAAGTTTATCCAACACTGACCTCCTCCCATCGTCTGCACTGATTTGATATCAAACAGCTGTTTTCTTCAGATTGCCTCATTATGTTGCACCATCCAATATTCTGTAGCAACACAACAAGATCAATATAAAAACAGATTCAGGTTAAGATTGACTATTTAAATTCAGCAAAATAGGTTGACCCATTAATGAATAATGACTCAATGGTTCAGAATCAGGGCTTAAAACATATCAAGTTGTAGTTCAGCTTTTCTGAGACAAAACTAATCAACTTTTATTTCCATTAAGTTGATTCTGATTGGTTAAAATATATTCCTGATCAGCTGTGCTGACTTATTCAGAGGACTGATTTGGCAGCAAAAACGCTAAATTAAAGATTAGAACGTGAGGAGTTTGATTTTTAATTTTGTGCAATTATCTGAATATTGACTGAAACACAATCATCACGAGAGTAGATCACAATATAAATCCCTCTATCAACCTTTTGCAGGCGACCAGAGGGAGCGGACGGTAGCTGAACAGAAAAGAAAAAGAAAGTAAGAAGGAAAGAGGGGAAAGTGATACTGTAATTTGTTTTTTCCTGAGTCAATCACACATATTCATTTGCACAGAAATGATACTTCACACCGACTCGGTACTAAGCAGGAAACTGTTGAGATCAGAGCATAAAGTGTGAAAGCTGATAACGCTTTTATACAGTTAATCCTGGAATTGATGCTGCACACATGAGCAACACTGACACTTCTTATTACAGTGTGAAAACCATTTATTTTTGAGGAAAATGTACAGTAACAGAGCAGCTTATTGGAAATGAATGTGGAAGATGGATCGTCTAGACGAGATTTCAGAATAAAAGCCTGCCAGAGAAATAAAGTCATCTGAGGTCAGGCTCCAGTTCCACAAAGTTAGCTTTTGACTGATTTATATCGATCAGTCAGATTTCAGAGAGAAAAATGAAAAAATGAATTTAATTTTCGTTATTGTGTCACGCAATGCACAGCTCACGTGGCCTTACAGGACACCATACTTCCATACAAGCCGGGCCCAGAATGTAAGATATACCTTTTCAAATAACAGAGAAATCACTGACAGAAACATTTAGGATGTCGTACTGGAAAAAAATCTGAAATTAAATAACGATTGTGCCTTTTTTTCCAGGCTTTTGTGACAAAGCTGGCAAACTAAACAAGTGGAAATCAAACAGCCGTTTCTAATTTTTGCTCATCTGTACAGCAGAATGTTTCAGGGTTTTGTCAAGAAATTTCATGGATCAGTTTTAACTCTCTTAAATCATCATTATTTGTAAAGTACAAAAGAAAATAGAACAAATTTTCGATTTAAAATCACATAGACATATAAATGCATTACTTGCACAAAGTCGTCTAGTTCTTGACGATCTAAATATATCTTGATAATCTAAATTATCATGAATTCTCTGTAAATTAAGACTGTTTTCAAAATAAAAACATGAAAGAGCGACCGCATGAAACAGAAAATGTTTGCTTCTTGTAGAAGAATTAAACAGTTAAAAGGACATTTGACTGGGACAATGCAGTGATGACTGTAACAATACTAGAACTTTAATTATAAAATCAATCAGAGCAGACTTGTGCAGAGCTGAGCTGCTGTGGCTTCTTAATGTGGTATGACTCAGTACCGATGTTGTCACTGTTGTATTAAACTTTCTCTAAAAGTTGCTTCCCTCATTTCTTAATCCACACTGGTGTCACTGATTGCTACCACAGAAACAGATCAGCCTAAACGATCTTGTATCTTTTAAAACCCCATGATTTATTGTCCTTTGACTGTTAGACCAATCCAGAGAAACAGAGACTTTGCTTCGTTTCTCTTCATTTTTCAAGATAAGACGAAACTTAAAGGACTTCTGTGGAGACTTTAGTGTTGCTGCAGAAGCAAAACTAAAGCAGAGAAAAAGAAACAAATCCCTGTCTAGTGCTTCCTCTTGAGTGGCAGCGTGTCCTTCACCACATGAACTGACTCTGCAGTCTATTATTGGCATGTTGAGGGTACTACTCCAGCCTCTGAAGGAGAAACACATCTTGTCTACCAACAAAAGAAACCCCTGAATTTCAATTTCCCGATTTTTCAACAACACAATAGAAAGGTCAGCCCCCCCCCCAGAGAAACCTGACTGCTT